AACCAAAACCCGACTACCCATTCCCCCATGAACTCAGATATATAAGTTATTTTGGAATCGGACCTCAAATTGAGGTCCAAAACCCCCAAATTTTGAAACCCTAGTTCTACCCTAAATTCCCAAATTCCCCAATTAAAATCTTTGTTTTGAAGTTGAAATTATGTTTTAAGATGTTAAGAAGCAAAGAAAATAAGTTAGAAATCACTTACCAATCGTTTTGAAGGAGAAGAATCGTTTGGAAAATCGCCTCTTATGTTTTGGGTTTTGAAAAAGTGCAAAATGACTGAAAATCTCAGATTTATATACTTTACTGAAGGACTGGCGCGGACCGCGCAAAAATGCCCCGCGGCCGCGCCGAGGAAGGGAGGGAAAACAACTCTCTGAACCTACCCAGCGCGGACCGCACGATTTTGGTGCGCGGCCGCGCTGGTGTCTTGCACCTGGGGCCTTCTCTGAATCTCCCAGCGTGGACTGCACGAACTTGGTGCGCGGCCGCGCTGGTCAAACCAAGGCTGAGGACCCCTCTGAATCCGGCCACGCGGACCGCGCGGACTGCACCGCGGCCGCGTGGCTTCCAGCGCGGACCGCGCGGGAATGACCGCGGCCGCACTGGGGGCCTGCAACGCTGCAACATCTGTTACTTTAAGCCTAAGGCCTCCCGGGACCTACTCAAAACTCACCCGAGCCCTCGGGGCTCCAAACCAAGCATACACACTAACTCAATAACATCCTACGAACTCATCCGTGCGATCCAATCGCGAAAACCACATCGAAATCATCAAATTAGGCCTCAAGACCCATGATTTCCTTCCAATTTTCATAAGACATCAAGTTTAGAGTTTTTGTCCAAAACACGTCAAACGACGTCCAAATCTAACCAAACTTTACAGCAATTGCTTAAATCGCATTTAAGGCTTGTGCCGGGCGTCGGAACCAAAATACGAGCCCAACAACACAGTCTTCTAAACAAATAACACTTTCAAATTCTTTAATTTTTTTCAGAAAACAATTTCACACAATAATTCATTTCTCGAACTTGGAACCTCGGAATTTAATTCCGGGCACACCCCCAAGTCTCATATTTTCCTACGGACCCTCCGGGACTGTCGAATCACGAGTCCAGATCTGTTTGCCCAAAATATTGACCGAAGTCAAACTTAATCAATTAAAACATCAAAATTTTTATTATCTTTCTCACAAATTCATATATATACGTTCCGGCTACGCGCCCGGACTGCGCACACAAATTCGAGGCAACCCCCAAGTGAGGTTTTCACGGCCTCAGAGATACAGAGTGAGTAGGAATACAGGTAATGACCCTTTGGGTCGTCACAAAAACTATTTGCCTTTGTCTACCCATTTGTTTTCCTACCCATAAACTAATTACATTTCCTACCCATAGTAGGTTTTTGTGAGGAATTTTTTCTTTATTCTCCAATTCTTTTTTATTTCTATGCTTCTTTTCTTTTTTTTTTTTCTCCTTTTCTTTTTTCTCTTTTTCTTCTTATTTTTTTCTTTTTTCCTTTTCTAATTTCATTTAACTTCTTTTTTTTATATTCTTTTTCTCTTCATAATCTAATTTCATTTACTGTTTTCACTATTTTTTATTATTCTTTTTTTTATACTATTACTAAAGAAAAATCAAATTGTGTACCAATTAAGTGTAGCTAATACAATCAAAAAATATTAACTAACATATGATACCAGTATAGTATATAGATATACCAACATGGTATATAATTGTACACAAAGAGTTTAATTTTTTTTTTAATTCAATTATTAAACTGAATAAATATCAGTTGTCAATAAAAATTTCAAAAAATTCTAAAAGGACTTAATTGTAAGAGTATACCGTTACATTATATAGTATACTATAATAGTATATCATTGGAATGAACTGTATACCAAAATGGTATATAGTATATCATTTTGGTATACAGTACAAATTCTTATTTGCCAGTTCAACGCAATAAATTATACACTATTGAATTAACCAAAATGGTATATAATATGTTATTTTGGTACATAGAGGATTGATTCATTCCTTCAAAAAATTAGTAGTATACTATAGTAGGTAATTATATACTCTTGAATTAATTATTGTATACCAATACAGTATTCAATATACCATTTTGGTATACAGTACAAATCTGTCTTCTATGCTAGTTCAACTCAATTTCAACCCAAAATTTAAAAATATATTCTAAGATATAACTAGCAAGGCATCACCATTTCATGTATTAGCAATACTAGAATCATAGTTGATTCATTATTGAAGTTTTAAGAGATTTTTTATTTGTTGATTTAAGTTATATACATTAGTAATAACATAAAAATAGTTTAATCTATTAACATACTATTTGTTTGTTATATAACTTATGTTTATTATAATTTTATTAGGTTACTAACGATATTTATCATAAAAAAATTATTTACATAACTAATTTATAAGTGTCGTGATTTTGCATATTATAGAAATAAACTCCTTTAAATTTTAAATAATAAAGATAAAATGAAATAGTTACACTAAATTTCCTTTTTACAGGTAAATGATTGCATAATGAAAGAGTAGAATTTTATATGAAGAGCATTGCATTTACATCGGACCCTTACTATTGAATCAAGGAGAAAACATGGGGAAAGAGGAATAGGCAGGCGTAATAAATTTAGACCTATATGTAAAAATAATAAATAGTTTAAAGATGGGCAAAAGCGGGTAAATAATTTGACTTTTGCACGAAATAGTGAAGGTGTATTAATGCATCAACGCAAGTATGCCTTAGAACTCATAGCTGAGTTGGGGCTATCAGGCTCTAAACCTGTTTCATGTCCTATGGAGCCAAATGTGAAACTCACTACTGTTGAATTTGACACTCATACAGGTACTTCTGATGACACATTATTGACTGATCCAGGGCCATATCAAAGGCTTTTGGGTAAGCTTCTTTATTTGGCTGTTACGAGACCAGATATCTCTTTTGTTGTTCAAAGTTTGAGCCAATTCATGCATAATCCCAAGGTCTCTCATATGGAAGCTGCACTCAAGGTGGTTAGATATATCAAAAGCAGTCCTGTCTAGGAGTTTTCTTAGCTGCTAAATGTTCTGAATTACTTTCAGCATTTTGTGATGCAGATTGGGCTGCATGTCCCAACACACGAAAGTCAGTCACAGGCTATTTCGTCAAACTTGGCTCTTCCTTGATTTCTTGGAAATCTAAGAAGCAGTCCACTATCTCTAGAAGCTCAGCAAAAGCTGAATATCGCAGTTTAGCATCCACAGTTGCAGAGGTTACATGGATTATTGGTTTACTCAAGGAGCTAGGAGTGGATCATAATTCACCTGTGCCTATCTACAGTGATAGCAAGTCAGCTCTTGCTATTGCTGCCAATCCTGTATTTGATGAACGCACGAAGCACATTGATATTGATTGCCATTTCATTCGTGAAAAGATTCAACATGGTCTTGTTTCTACTCTCTATTGTCCTACAGCTGAGCAGGAAGCTGATATACTCACAAAGGGACTTGGTCGTATTTAACATTCATATTTGTTGTTCAAGCTAGGTCTACTCAACATCTTTCCTAGTCCTAGCTTGGGGGGGGGGGGTGTGTGTGTAAAGAATATAGGTTAACCTTAGTAGTTAACCTTAGTCAGCTTAACTTAACTATAATATTAGTTAGTGTTAGTGGTGTATAGCTGTCCTAAGGTAGTTAGTTAGTTAAATACACTATAACTTCTTCTTCTTTCCAGTTGAGTTAATTGTATCGAAACAAAGAGCACTGCTCTTGACTGTTTTTCTCTCGAAAGTTCTCAATCTCAATTTATCTCTTCAACTGCACAGTGCTAAATTCTTCAGATTACCCTGACCTCATTATTGTACTGTATTTAGTTTCATCCTTGAGATCATGTTACCATAATTTACCAATCTGCACTGTGCATTTAAAGCTAACTTGATGGTCCATAAACATTGACAAGCCACTTCCTTTCACCATTTAAACCTTCACGGTAAAAAAGAAGCTTTCTTTGTCACAATAAAATTCTTGTGCCGCAATCACAATAATTTCCAAATAGATTTAAATTATATACACTGAGGATATTTAATTCTTACACTATTAATGTATTTTAATCTTATACA